GGGTTTGAACCTCCAGCCTTCTGGTTAGCAGTCAAGTGCCTTAGGCACTGTGCTACCAGAGCTCCCATCTGCAACATTTGGGGGGGGGGCGGAATTACTCATAATAGCCTGCCTGGCAGTGCACTTTGATTAATGAGTCATTCACTTTGATTAATGTTTGCTTCAAATGTTAGCAAGTTTGCTGGGATGGGATAAAGTTGAAGTTGGCAGAATTTATGAGCCTCTGCCTCCCTTTGGGGACTAATCCTGCATGTGCTTCCACGTCTACAACACATTACTTCACTATTTCAGCTACCCCGACCCCCAGGCAAAATAGACAAGATTTGACTTTTATAAAAACTCTAAGGTTTTGAGATACGATCTGTGTATTGTATCTATCCTTCTTCTTAGCTCCTTAAGAAGCTCTGGTGGCGTGGTGGGTAAGGCATTTGGCTACTAATGAGAAGGTAGGTGGTTCAAACCCACCAGCTTCTCCGTGGGAGGAAGATCTATTTCTGTAAAGATTTATAGCCTTGGAAAACCAATGAGGGTTGCTATGAGTTGGAATTGACTCGATGGTATTGGGTTTGGTTTTGGTTCTCAGCTCCTTAAAGTGTTTAGGTCTCTGCTCTATACTCTCTCTAAAAGAGCTTGATTTGATTGACTTTCTTGATTTGCTTTTTGTGTGATGGAATTTCCATAGTTTCAGGGACTGTGAAACTACGTGCATGTGTGATATCTGAGAAAGTATCCTATTAAAAGGTTGCCTAGTTATTTAAACATCTAACATTGATAGACTGGTTACTTATATAGCCCATCAAAAGTTGCTGAATTCTTTCTAATAACTCTCCTTATGGACTTTGAATTATTAATCTGTTTCAAGTTCCTTTTAGCAGTGATTTGGATGGGTTTGGGAGCCTTCAGCAAGTAAAAGACAGTAGGGCCATGAACCAACAGGCAGGCAAAGACCCATTAGAGAAAAAATCTGGGCCTTGTGGTCGTGTCATATGGTAAAGACTGAAAACCAGGTAAGTTAAGAGCCCCTGATTTCCAACTATGCTTTACCTCCTGATACTGTTCACTGTGGCTCAAAAGCACCAGCCAGTTGCTGTTGAGACAATTCTAACTCATGGCAACCTCAGGTGTGTCAGAGGAGAACTGTGCTCCATAGGGTTTTCAGTGGCTATTTTTTTTCTGTGAAGTATGTGGCCAAGCTTTTCTTTTGAGGTGTGTCTGGGTAGACTTGAACATTCCAGTTAGTAGCCAAACATGTTAATCATTTGCATCATGCAGGAATTCCTCAAAAGTAAACATATCTACATTGGGCAAAGCCAAACCCACTGCCATCAACTCAATTCTGACTCATAGCGACCTTATAGGATAGAGTAGAACTGTCTCATGGGGTTTCCAAGGCTACAAATTTTTATGGAAGCATACTGCCTCATCTTTCTCCTGTGGGTGACCAGTGGGTTTGAACTACCGACCTTTTGGTTAAAAGCCAAATGCTTTGACCACTGCACCACCACAGCTCCTTGTGTATGCATTAGAGAGATGCACATACATCAAAACAACAATGAGATACCATCTCACCCCATCAATAATTACAAAGTTCAATAAGAAATCAACAAATGCTAGTGATGGGTCTGTAAAAATAGTACAACCACTGTGGAAAATGGTATGATGCTTCCTTAAAAAGTTGGAAATATAAATACTCTTTGATCCAGCAAATCTTACTACTAGGTATATATCCTAAAGAAATAGGAGCTGGAACATGAATAGATACATGTATAGAGCCATGTTTATTACAACATTAGTTACAGGAGCAGAGATGGAAGCAACATAAGTGCTCACGAATGGATGAATGGATAAACAAACTATGGTACATACAATGGAATATTATGTAACATTAAAGAATAATGAAGACTCCACAAAACATCTTATAGCATGATGAACCCGAAGGACATTATGTTGAGTAGAATAAGTCAACAAAAGGACAAATACTGTATGAAGCCATTATTATAAAAAGTCAAGGAAAGGTTTATACACAGAAAGAAACATTCTTTGATGGTTACCAGAGATGGGAGGGGAGGGGAGGAAAAATCACTAACTAGATAATAGACATGTATTAATTTTGGTGAAGGGAAAGGCAATATACAATAAAAAAAAGATCAGTACAATATTGCTAAGGCAAAAGAAGACATGGAAAGGTGCAAAAGGTAAATACAAAGACAACAAAAATAAATACTATTACATACACAGTCCTTTAATATCAGTAATAACAAATGATAATCTAGAAGTGGATACATAGGCAGATATGCAAGCTGACAGGTATGGGCAAGTGAATGGGACAATACCCACAACAATTTTTAGGTTTGGCATAGGGTATTTCTACATGTGTATTTGTATAGGATATAATTATATCCACGTATACAGGGGAAAAAGTTATGAAAGCTTCTTTTAACTCTAAACTGACGGCCATCGAGTTGGGTACGACTCATAGTGACCCCTCCTTGGGTTTCCGAGGCGGTATCACTACGGAAGTAGATTGCCCAATCTTCCTTCTAGGGAATGGGTGGTGGGTTTGAACCACCAGCCTTCTGGTTAGTAGTCAAATGCCTGAGACACTCTGCCACCAGAGCTCCCTTGAACGGTTCTTAGCCATAACCAAAGATCTTGTGGGAATGAATCAGTGGGCTTGGGGGCTTAGGACCACAGTCCTGGGGGACAGCCAAGTCAGTTGGCATAACACAGTGCACAAAGCCAGTGTTCCACATTCTATGAGTAGAGACTGGGGTCTTAAAATCTAACAAGTGGCCATTTAAAATGCAACTATTGGTTTCTCCTCATCTGGAGGAAAGAAGAGTGAAGAAAATCAAAGATTCAAGGAAACAATTAGCTCAAAGGACTAAAGGGACACATGAACCACAATCCCCATTACCCTGAGACAAGAAGAACTAGATGGTGCCTGGCTACTACTACCAGCTGCTCTGACTGGGACCACAGAAGGCCCTGGACACAATGGGAGAAAAATGAAGAACAAAATTTAAAATCATTTAAAAGACCAGACTTAATGGTCTGATAGAGACTGGTAAAAGCCCTAAGACGTGGCCCTTAGACACTCTTCAAACCTCTGAAACTGAACCACCCTGGAGAACACCTTGCAGCCAAACAATGGACATTCCTGTAAAGTGAACAGTAACACTGGTAAGGAATGTGCTTCTCACAATAATCAACCATATGAGACCAAAATGGGAGTGTTTGCCCCAAAATAAAGCTCAGAAGGTAGGGAAGGGCAGGAAGGAAGGAGGAATGGAAACAAGGAACTCAAGGAAGAAGCAAGAAGAGTACTGTTTCATTGAGAAGACTGCAACTAATGTTATGAAAGAAAACGTGTCTAAATTGTTGAATGGACAATGAATTTGCTCCAAACATTCATGCAAAGCACAATTTGAAAATAAATAAATAAATAAAAAGGTAATTCTGTATGGGCACCATTCATCTAAAAGGTAAGTTTCATGAAGGCGAAGATTCCGTGTTTTGTTAATTGCTGTATCTGCAGCATCTAGTGCATAGTTGGGGCTCTGTAAATATTTCTTAAATGAAAAAATATATACATACATTGTTTAGTCTAAGATACTGACAACATACTGTTTTAGCAATACTGGAAGATGCCCTCTGTAGAGCAAATAATTCTAAGAAAGCCATAGTCTTATTTTCTTAGTGTTCCTGTATCTTACCTATCTTGCACAGAACCTCTCTGTAAGGTAAGCTTTTTAACCCTTTCCTGATTGAATTATTGTCTGCTTTGACTTTTTTGCTGATACTATGTGTTTTCATTAATGGAAGGCCTCCTGAATCAAGGAGGATTTCTGAAATTTTTTATGAAATGTGGATTTTTGTACATATTATATGGGGCACATATATCCCTCTGGACTGGGGGGGTGGGTAGGATTAATGGGATACATATATCCCTCTGGACTCTGCACTGCCTTCTAGACCTTGACAGGTGCATACCATATAGGGTGCCAGAAAATGTGGTGTTCACATGAACAGGAAATTGTCATGAGAAAGGCAATTCCAAATAAGATACAGGAACCCAGAAATATACTTACAAGGTTTTATGTCCCAATGAAAAGGGATGAAGTTTTGTAAAATCATACCTCCAAGATGCATCACCTCCTACAATACCCAGTAAGGAGAGTAATTTGCAGCACACACTGATTTCTTCCATGTTAAGCAGTTATACAAGTCCTTTCCTGACAGCTGCATGCACTGTCAGTGGGAAAGCAGCTGCCCAATAAACCCCAGAGGAGGAAAATGTAGGTGGGCACTTTATGTCCCACGGGTCATGAAAGGGTTAAATGTGGTGTGGGGAGAAAGATAATTAAATAAAATTCACAATACAATTTGAAAGTGTGTTTTAATCAAATAAACAGAAAATACTAATTAAACCCCATTTCTGTGTTTGTAATAGGAATGTACTTTTACAAAGATGCGTTCAAACAGTGCTCTGAGAGTTTTGTTTAGTGGCTCACTTCGGCTAAAATGCAGAAATGCATGCTGCCAACGCTGGTATTTCACATTCAATGGAGCTGAATGTTCAGGACCTCTTCCCATTGAAGCTATAATTTATTTGGACCAAGGAAGCCCTGAACTGAATTCAACAATTAATATTCATCGCACTTCTTCTGGTATGTAGGAAAATGACACTGCCTCAGATCTTGGAGGCTCAAGGTTCATTTTGAGTGCCTCTATCATGTTTAGTCACTAGCCTGCTAGAAAGGGAGGTGATAGCAGGTGTTCAGTGCATAATTCTCCACCATGGTTTCACTTTAGAATACCTGTGGATCTTTAAAAAATATATGTGGATGCCTGGGTCCCATCTCTGACGAACTGAATCAGAATCTCTGGGGACAAAGCCCCAGTATCTGTATTTTTTAAAAAATATTCCCTTAATGATTCTGATGGGCTTCCAGGGTTGAAAAATCACTGAGTTAAATGAAATAGCCAATAAGTCAAGAATACCACAGAGCAGTGGTTCTCAATCTTGGCTGCACATTGGGTTCAGCTGGGGTACTCTAAAAAATATTAATGCCTGGTACCACCCCTCCAAGAAGCCTGATGCCATTGGTCTGGGTGCATATTAGGCAATGGCTCTTTCATAATATCTCCGGGTTATTCTAATGTTCAGCAAAGGTTGATAATCACTAGCTTAGACTGGTAAAGAGACTGATTTCTTTGTCTTTTCCTTTACATTTTGCTAAATTTATAAAAGAAAATTTCTAGATAATTCCTGCATTGTGTTTTTTTTCCTACTTATTCTGAGAGAAAAGACATTTAATTAAGCCACCTATTTTAATGTTTATCAAAGAAAGTTTAGAAAATATCAAAAAATAGAAAGGGAGAGAAAGAAATCGGCACTTAATCTCATCAGCCAGAGACTTCATAAACAATATTAGGCTGTCGGCCAATTTGTTTCTTGGGTTGCGGTAGGAGTAGCGCCCCGTAAGAGAACATGCCTGATGCACACATCACTAAACCTCATTTCTTTGATCTCTTGGAGGGTTTTCCTATTAAGTTTTTGCTTAGAAATTGCAGAAGGAAGGAAAGCAGTCCCCTCACTGCTAACCTGAAGAAATTATATTCAGCATTCTTTGAGGATCCAAGTCAGATCATGTACTCAAAAACTAATCCAGGGGATCCTTTTTACATTTTCTCTCAAATGTTCACAACATCCTAGAGAATATAGAGAAGATATCTTAACTGTCCCTGTTGACACATAGAGCAGGCCCAGGGAAATAAAGGGTCTTTTAACCCACCAGCCACTCCTCGGAAGGAAGGTTGGGCAATCCTACTTCCGTAGTGATACTGCTTCGGAAACCCAAGGAGGGGTCGCTATGAGTCGGGGCCGACTCGACGGCACATAACAACAACAACAACAACCCAAGAGAGGAGGAGCCCTAGTGGCACAGTGATTAAGCATTTGAACTGAAAGGCTGGTATTCAAACCTACTAGCCGTTCCCTGGGAGAAATGTGTGGCAATCTGTTTTCATAAAGATCACAGCCTAGGAAAACCATGGGGCAGTTCTGTTGGATTCTGCAGGGTCTCTATGAGTTAGAATTGACTTGATGACAATGGATTTTGTTGGGTTTGACCCAGGAGAGAGGAGCCCTGTTGGCAAAATGGTTTAAGTCCTGGGCTGCTAACTGAATGGATGGGGTTTGGGACCCGCCAGCCACTCTGTGGAAGAAAAGACTGGGAATCTGCTGTTATAAAGATCCATAGCCTGGGAAACTTTATGGGGAAGTTCTGTCTGTCACACGGGGTCACTATGAGTCAAAATGCACTGGCTCACATACACCCCCACCACTGTAGGAGAGTAGAATCAGTGTGCAGGAAAGCAGACAGCAGAACCCTGCCCTTTTCTGTCCCAACCCCTCTTTTTGATCAGATTTAAACTCCTTTTCACTGCTTCCATAGATGCACATGTTGAAAAGGAAGACATGCTTTCCATCTGAGAAGCAGTCTCTGAAATAAGAAAAGCCTAGATATAAGACATGAAATTTGATTAGGAAGTGATATGTCTTTAAATAGTAGTTGATATAAGCAATCTACTTTCTATTATATTACCTTGAAGGTATATGTTATTATCTTAGGGCTTGGAACTGTGTCCTGTACATGCAGATACTTAATAAATTACTTAACAGAGCATTTCCCAACCACGGTGTGGAAATTCATTTTATGTGATCAGTTGGGTGGAGTGTCACAAGTAATTTATTAATAACAGTTTTTGTATTAAGGTGGATGACAGGTTACCTCTCTAATACAATCATGTTCTATTGCACACCAGGGCTCTTTCTTGAGGGAAAGAAAAACACATCAGAGGATGACTTAAAATCTTGCATATGTCTATAGGCATCTGATGAACATTTGAATGTTGTCTGTTACATGAGTCTAGGAAGAAAAGGTGGAGAACCCGTTGTTGTTGTTGTTGTTATGTGCTGTCGAGTCAGCCCCAACTCACAGCGACCTCTTCTTGGGTTGCCGAGGTGGTATCACTACAGAAGTAGATTGCCCATCCTTCCTTCCGAGGAGTGGCTGGTAGGTTTGAACCGCCAGCCTTCTGGTTAGCAGTCAAGTGCTTTAGGCACTATGCTACCAGAGCTCCTTGGAGAACCCCTAGTACAACATATTTTAGGTGCTTAATAAGCTGCAGCACTGTTACCCAAGTAAATACCGCATTATTCATTCAACAAACATAGTATCATTTCTCAAAGACCATGAAGTGAACATTCATTTCTCTTGTGTAAAGCTGATGCTAGACCCAAGCTTGTCTGACTTCCTGAGTCAAAAAGCTGTAGGGTAATGGAACAGGTTTCTGGGTCACAGATTTCAAGACTTGGGGAACACGTGACTATTTCTGGGCACTCCCACCTGGCGTGGTGTGAGAATACCTGATGACATGGGATTGTGGAGCCTTGCTTAGCTGCACAAACTTTGGAGAGGGGCCTGAACCAGAGCCGGTTTGCTGGATTCTGAGGGACTGCCCTGGAGCTACTGATGCTATAGCCGATGCAAGTAGATGGCTTCAGCCCTACAACCTTGGGGCTCACCTGGAATGCACCAACCCCCACCCACTGCCATCAAGTCAGTTCTGACTCATAGTGACCCTCACAGCATTTCCAAGGCTGTAGATCTTTGCACAGGCTGCCTCATCTTTCTCCCTTGGAGCAGCTAGTGGTTCAAACTGCTGACCTTTTGGTTAGCAGTCTTAACCACAGCACCACCAGAGCTCCTTGCACTTACCCCCACCACATAGGGAATCTCACTAGTCACATGAGTCCATCCAATACACTCCTTATGGCAGGATTCATTTTCTCAAAGAATCTGCCAACCTACAGTTTATTTCTCCCTTTCGAAGACCTGGAGATGTGACAGGTTTTTTTTTTTTTGTCTTTTAAAATGAGCACTGGAGGAAGTTTTTTTTTAACAGAGGGGAATCGCCTTGGTAAGGTGGAATGCCAGTTGTATGTTAGTATGTGAAAGTCCAGAGGACATGTGAAAAAGACGTACTTATAAAGCACAAAGGAAGGACAGTCTCTGTTTTGTTTTACTGTGAGAAAATTCTGTGTAAATTTTGATTCCCAGATTGAAAGACTGATGATATAATGATTATGTTAGAATTTCTTTTAATATTATAAAAGCCTTGCTTTTCCTTGAAAAGTTTCAAGTGTACAAGTAAGTGCTGGAAGGGACTTCATTAAAAATGACTTGCATATCAAATCAAGTCTTTTAACAGTGTAGGCTTCCTTTGGTTTGCTTTAGTCAAATGAATTGCTTTATTAAAAAATTTTAGGCTATCTCTGTAACTAAATAATTTTTTTTTTAATGATTGAAATCTGTAAGCAAACTACTTGTTAAGCTTATATCATAGAATGGAGAATACAGCCATATGTAGATCCAGAAAAGCAAACTCACCGCCATCGAGTCAGATCTGACTCATAGCCACCCCTCGTTGGGTTTCCAAGGCGGTATCACTACAGAAGTAGATTGCCCCATCTTCTTTCTGAGGAGTGGCTGGTGGGTTTGAACCACCAGCCTTCTGGTTAGCAGTCAAGTGCCTTAGGCACTACACTACCAGAGCTCCTTGAAAATATTTATGTATCAACTATTAAAATATTTAATAAAGATGACTTATCTTTATTCAATCCTTATCAAGCATTAGACTTTTTAATTAGCCATACATTAAACAGATTTATAATCTAGCTTGCTAAAAGAGTAACAGTTAAGAGATTTTGCTTTTTGTTCTAAAGAAAGATGGAACTTTCACTTTGTTTTGCAGTGGAAGGACTTTGTGAAGGAATTGGTGCTGGATTAGTGGACATTGCCATTTGGGTTGGTACTTGTTCAGATTACCCAAAAGGAGATGCCTCCACTGGATGGAATTCTGTGTCTCGCATCATTATTGAAGAACTACCAAAATAAAGTCTTTAAGTTTCATTGCCTACCCTGGTTTCATTATACTTTTGAAAGTTTTTAAATGACATTTTATATCATTTTTATGTATGCATCTGAATGAAAAATGAAGGTAAACGTGTTTACAGACCAACGTGTGATTTTATACTGTATTTATATCTAGTGTTCATTTTACATCAATCAAAATGTTTAGGATTTTGTAGTTGATTAGAATACTTTAATAATCCCATTCCCTGAACCTATCATTTGGAGTCATTGTGGTCTTTAGTTTTACCTTTTCTTTTAGTATAGCATTTTTAGAAATATGAAAGCTACCAGTCTTTATGCAAGTTGTAAATGTTCAAAATTGTTTTATATCTGTTAAATAAAACTTATTTCAAACAACTTTAACATCTTAAAACTAATTGCCATTCAAATGAGAGTTTATAGTACTTTATATCTGAAAAGTTTAATATAAACCTAATTTTGCACTTACTTGTTTAACAATCATGTATTAGTTTTTAGTGCACGTATAGTATTGTCCCGTATTTTGGGAGATACAAAAAGAAAGGGTGTTTATGTACCAGGAACTAAATTAGCATGTTAGGAATGTTATCTTTATTTAACAAAGGGTAAAAACACATGGACCTTTCCTCAGATTGCTTACCATTTGGGACAGAAGATCAGATATGTACAAAAAATAGCAATAAATCAAAGACCGATGTGTTCATAGGAACCTTGGTGACACAAGAAGTTTTGCAGTTGGCTGCTAACCTAAAGGTTGGTGGTTCAAACCTATCCAGTGGCACCATGGGAGAAAGGCATGGTGAACTGCTTCTGAAAGGATTACAGTCAGGAAAACCTGATGGAGCAGTTCTACTCTGCAACACATGGGATCACATGACTTGGGGGCTGACCTGATGACAGCCAACAAAAACAATATGTTGATTCTGTAAAAGTTGTTGGGGATTAGTTCAAACGAAGGACCTGTTCCTGGATTAGCTCAAACTAAAGGTAGATCGATAGTTCTGGCTGCAGTGGTCAGAAAGAATTCAGGAAGGAAGTGCAGGTGTGTAAGACTGTAAATCGGTGTAGTCCTGGGCTTGAATTGGAAGTACCAGTATTTTATCTGAAACAATCACTATAAAACAACAATAACATCTCCAAGCTTTGTTTACTGAGAAGGCCTAGAAACAATGACAGTCCAGTAATGCCCATAAATTATGTCTGTATATATCATTTCCCACTAAAAGGAATTAAGGCTCTTTGGAGAAATGGATGATTTCAGCTCCCAGGCAGGAAATGTACAATATGAGCCTGGAACATCTTGTTATACTGGAAAACAAGGCAACTATGAAAGACAACTCAAAAGTATCCAGAAGCCAACTTGAACAGGCTCCCACTTGCAAAGATTATACAGTTTGTGCATCAATAAAGATAATAACCACAGTGGTTTGAAACACATCAAATATGTCTGAATGTATGAATTTATAAGGATAAAATTGGTAAGTAGGAAAAAATCGAGCATTTATTCAGCTTTCCCTATATAAACTTTCCCTCTAGGAAGTATATGTACTGTATGCCCTATATCTCTGGGTAAACAAGTTATCAAGGAAGGCAAATTTCTCTTTATAGAGGGATAAGTTTTTTTTTTTTTTTTTGGTGTGTAATAGCATAGTAATTCTGTATTTTATGGTAGTTAGCATATTAACGTAGGTAACAAACAGAATGACAGAATTCTCTCCCTTTTATAACACCCTAATGAATTAAAAAGGAGCCCTGGTAGTGCAGTGGTTAAGCATGTGGTTGTTAACAGAAAGGTCAGTGATTTGAACTCACCAGCCACTCCACTGGAGAAAGGTATTGGCAGTCAGCTTCTGTGAAGATTACAGTTCTGGAAATCCTGTGCAGCAGTCAGAATTGACTAGATTTTGATGGATTTTTTTTAAGCAGGAATCAATGAAAGGATCTAGCAATGATTACCAAAGGCTGATAACATTGTAAAAAGAGACCAGAGAATGTGCCTCCAGATGGAAGTGTGTAAAACTGCTCAGGTAGTTCTGCCAAGAAAAAAAATCAAACCATGATATCATGAAACCTCCAGCTCTGTTGATTATACCTACTACTCACTTACTGACCATCTCGTTATCCGACAGTTCACATTTACAACCAGAGTTAAAAATCTGCTATCCAACAATTTTGCACATTAACAATGTACGTCTGGCAGTAACAACTGGCAAGGTGCAAGGTGAGAGTAACTCTGGCTGCGATGGTTAATGGCCCTCAGTGGTTTGGCAGTTATGTAATGATGAAATTTGGCAGTTATTTAATGATGTAATCATCTTCCATTTTGTGATCTGATGTGGTCATTTTCATTTTTGATTAATGCCAATTTTCACATAATGACCTGGTCTTTGGAACTAACCTGTCAGTAAATGAGGAGTGGGTGTATTAGGAAATACAGGGGATAAAGGAACAGGGAGATAACCAAGATATAATCAAAATTCAGACTGGGGGGAAACTGTAACAATTTGGGTTTTCAACAAATAAATTGCAAGAAAAGAGAATTTTTTTTTCTTTTTTAAGAAAAACTTATGGATTAAAAGAGACTAAAGATCCTGCTGGAGGGGACTCACTGAGGGGGGAGACTTCTCTTCCTGATTTCAGTGTGCTGGATTTGGCCTTTTCTTGCTCCTGCTGCGTGGTCTGTCTGGTGTGTGTGGACATTTGGTGTTGCTCTTCCCAGCCACACATTTCAAAAACACAGTCCCTCAACTACCTGGCCCTGGCCCTAGCATAAGCCCAGTGACCACCTTGCTGCAGCCCTCTTGCCATGTGTATCACGTGCCCCTGGCCTTGTGCTCATAGCAGTGCCACTTCCCTGTGTGTACACCCTACCAGTTCTGCTTATTCCCTGGAAAGTTGTCCCCAAGGTCCGCCTGATGTGGATAAGGCCGGCTCTAGGCTTTGCACTTGCAGAAAGGCCCTAACTCCCTCTGCACACCTACCTACCTGCCTACCAGCCTTGGCTTGACTGCGTTTCCTGTTTTATAGAAGATTGTTAATCAACTCTGGCCTGGACAACCCAGCCAATTTCACTATCAAGTGGTCTCCAATCACATCTTCTCCAATGAGGTCTGGACACCAGCCACAAAGAGGGGAACCCTCCTTCAAGTTTGTCCTCCTTGGGTATTCTCCCTCAGCCTATTCTTTTACCATTCAGAGTTATCATATTTATGTTGTTACTCTCCTTAATAATTCTTTAAACATCTCCTGTTTAAATTACAGTGTGGTTTGTCTCCTGAATGGACCCAGACTGATAGAAGGTGATTACTTGATTGAAGAATTTAGGATAAGAAAGTGAGCAGGAGTAGCACTTTCTCTTCCCTGCCTCTTTTGGAAACAACTTGCTCACGAAGATCATGCATTCAGCCCTATTGCTCCTCGCCATATATTTTATAGGTGCAGGCTATTAAATAGTCTTGGTCCAGTGTTGTTTGTGCATGGAAGGCTATGTCTGTATGATTCTGGGGCTTGGTATTAGGAAGCCCATCCCACAGATACAAGCCTCATTTTCCAATTTCAATGGTATCACTAATAAAAGGTAATATTTTATCTGCCATTTACCTTTTGTCTATTTCTGAACTAGTCCTGAATCTGAGTGGGAAAGAGGTGAATGTGAATCACCTGACAAACCATTTCTTGCTGCTGCTTTTGACATGCTGGTCACTTTCTAGCCTTGGATAGAACAAGCCAAATGTCACAATTTACATACATTGAAATACTAAACATAGAATTCTCTAATATGTGATCTCAGAAAATACACTAGGGAGAAATTTCAAATCATTTAACTTTTGTTGGGCCTTCTACAGTAAGTAGATTTTTGGTTTATTGTTCTGACAATCTTCCTTCGCATATCTGAGTTGAATAGTGGCTTTAATTTTTATATATATGAAATAATGTGGCACAGTGACTTACTTGGTATGACTTTTCTAGCCAGTCTTTGTGACATCCACCAGATTACTGAGTGGGACCATGCAAATAAGGGGTGTAGAACTCTGATGTAAAAATTGGTTAGTTTTGCTATGCTGCTGGGGTTAAAATGAACCCTCGGTGGCTTAGTGCCTAAGGCATTTGACTGGTAACCAGAAGGCTGGTGGTTCAATCCCACCAGCCGCTCCTCAGAAGGAAGTTGGGCAATCTACTTCTGTAGTGTTATTGCCTCGGAAAGCCAAGGGGGTCAATATGAGTCAGATCTGACTCGATGGCAGTGAGTTTGGTTTAGAGGCAGAAGAGGATCTCACTGCCAAAGAAAGAAGAGGTGGAGTGGAGCAGAGCGCATCCTTGGGCCCAAGATCCTTGGGCTGGACCTCCTTGGCAGAGATGCTTGACTGAGGGACGCCTAATCAAGAGGCAAGAAGCAAAGCAGTAGGCTAGCTGGCCCACAGAGTGAGAACGGTGAGCACCCTTGGGCTGGCTGGAGGCTTGCTGGCGCAGTGAGGTGCGCCTAGATGTACCTATGGGGCAAGGCTAAAAGAGCTTCCTAACACTTGCCCGAGCAGGGCAGAGGCCAGACTGGAGGTCAAGGGCCAGAGAGGCGTGCCTGAGGGCAAAGAAGAGAAGAGACTGTCCTGACGGAAGAACCGTATCCTGAGCACGTTCCTGAACCTGGGTGTGTCGCCTGTTACTTCCCTTATAAACCCCATAATTGTGAGTATTGCCTGTGAGTTGTGTGTGGCCACTGCAATGAATTATGGAACCTAACAGAGAAGTAGTGAGTGCTGTGGAGGGACGGTTGGTGTCAGAATTGGTGAAAAGGCTGAAGGGGGCAGCATGTCTGGCCTCGCTGCAGTAAGCCTTGGGCTACTGACGATGACTGTTTCCCTCCTGTGAAGAGGCCAGAAGATGCCATCCTCATGCCCTTTTTGCAAATAACTTGTTTTTCTGTAAACCAAAAACGTTTTGAAGAAGTAATGTGACCACAACATGTGTAACAGTCTCAAAGTGCTTTTTATAATGGTAACATCAATTCTATAGAAAGTGTTCACCAACAGCAGGGCAGTTGACAAGAAAGTGCCATATAGAGTGTAGAGTCTGTATCATAGATTCTCCGTCATCTAAGCAGCTTCCCATTGCAGTAAGCAATAGAAAAACACAACTCAGACTGGCTTTGAAAATAAAGACAATTTATTGGTTCACTTAATTGAAAATTCCAGAGGTACATGTTGCTGCTGTTGAGGATGGATCCAGAATCTCATATAATGTGACTTAATAAGTACCTAGTTTGTTTACATTTCTGTCATTTGTTTAGTGTGGACTCCATTTCAGACAAACTCATACCAATTCAGGGTCCTAAAGTGGCTTCAAAGAGAATGTGTCAGTATTCTCAGAAATTATCTTTAAAGAGTTACTGATTGGATTAGCTTAGGTTAACTGTGGCAATTCCAAACTGTTCATTACGAACATGGATGGCACATGTAGATTGGCTCTGCAATGCGGGCCCAACCCTTGTACCCATGAGGCTCATTCCATCTAAACTGCAAAGCTGAGAACAGCTGTTGTTGTTGTTAGGTGCTGTCGAGTCGTTTCCAACTCATAGCGACCCCATGCACAGCTGAGAACAGAGAGAGGGATAACTTCCTAAAAGAAGAGAAATGGATACCAGGCAACCAACAACAGGTATTTGTAACAGGTGTTCCCAATGTCTATTTCCTATTCATTTATTCACTCTTTAAAAAGAAATTTAAGACTTTAAGTAACCTAAAACTTCACAGATTTTCAGCATGTTACCTAACACATTTTTAGAAAACAGGCATAAATTAAAGGTTTAAGTCATTTCACAGTGTTTTATTTCTGTAAGGTATTTTGTAATTGCTAAAAGCTCTTGCTGTGAAAGTGGTAATACATACTTATCTAAAGATTTTACATTCAAGAAAATGTCCACATTCAAAGGAAAATCCTCTGATGACTCATGAACTCAAACATGATTCTTCAGATGTCCTTTTTAGTGTGGTGTTTTTTAAAAACATGATTTTCTACATATTAGCTGCCCAGAAATGAACATATTGAAATATAAGATTTTTCCCAAAACATGGTTTTTCCCATCATCACCTCTGATCACATTCTACCCTGTGTTCCCTAGAGCATAGCCCCAGCAGGTGTTTTTGTTTCTTTGGCCTCTTTTTTTTTTAAATCTTCAAGAGTTCTCCCTTTAACAGATCTGGTTTCCCTGCGCCAGTCTCCCAGTCCGTGCCCTTCTTACACCCAGTACTTTTTCAACTAAAGTTCTTTACCTGTCCTTTATCTGCCTGAATCCAGGAAAGAGCAGCCTAAAGTGAAATGAACTGACTCCAGCTGCTTGCAATCTGTCTTCAGCCTCTATAATTGGGATCTGCTTCAAGTTATCAGTGGCATTAATCTTCATCCTACTGAAATATTTACGTGGTTGATAACCCTCTTTTTGAGCTCACCCTTCTTATTTCTGATTGGCCTTCCTCTGTCACCCTTAAGATGGGTCATGTCTGTTGTATTAATTACTCTCGTCTCTAGCACTCTTTGATCAATCAGAAAAATCCAAACTGGTTTAATAAGCTCTGGAAGTTCTCATGATCACTCCAGTCTTTCAGCTTTATCTTCCATTTCTTCATTGCCATGTTGACTGACAACTCACTATTCAAAAAATGACATCTATGCTTTTTTCCCCAAGGTTACTTCAAAGCCCAGCTCAAATGCATTTCTCCATGAATCCTTCTCTAGTTCCCTCATCTTTAATCACTACCTCCAACTCCATCAATAAGTCCAAGCTACCTTGATTACCTATCTTGATTAGACATCTGTAAAAGCTAATCAGTTACCATTATTATCACCAGAATAATCTCTCATATAATCCAAACTCCTTCCCATGACCTACCTCAAGATCTGGCCTGATGCTTAGTGGTCCAGGCATTGTGCTAGGTACTTTGATTGTTACAATCCTGTCAATAATCTATGAACTATGGACTTTGGTTGCTGTTGTAAAAGCATATATAACACATTTGCAGTTCAATATTTTTCAAGTGTACAATGTAGTGCTATCAATTACATTAATCATGTTGTGCAACCACCACCCATAATCGCTGCCCAATTTCCCACCACCATAAACACATCTTCCTAAATAACATGAGCTATGTATGGACTTTCAAAATCCCTATCTGAAACCTCTTCTCCTGCCTCATCCTGGCTTTGTTTTTCACTCCATTACAGATTTCTCCTAAGAGCACTCCCTCAATACGTCACTTGCCCGTGAATCACCATCTCAGTCGTTGCTTCAGAAGACCTGATCCAAGGGACCATTTATAAGCGAGGAAACTTGAGACAGAGATGATGTGATTTGTCACAGATCAGACAGTAAATGGGCAATCTGAAACCAGTCTGGCTCCCAAACCTGTTTTTATCACACTGTATTGGCTACTTTGCCAACCTCTTCTCTGGACACTGTCCTCACTCTTCTCCCTCTTCTGCGGTTGTGTGGCATCCAGTCAGTTCTGACTCATGGTGACCTTATGAGGCAGAGTACAACTGCCTCATGAGTTTCTGTGCTGTAATTTTTATGGGTGCAGATTGCCAGGTCTTTTCTCCCACAGAGCTCTGAATTGCCAACCTTTCAGTTAGCAGCTGAGTGCTTAACCACTGCACCACTAGAGCGCCTCCTTCTCCTCTAGCCGAATTGATTTGGGCCTCAGCATCTTTGTGCTTGCTATTTTCTCTGCCTACAATACTTTCAAGGAGCTCTGGTGGCACAGTGCCTAAGGCACTTGACTGCTAACCAGAAGGTTGGTGGTTCAAACACACCAGCTGCTTGTGGAAGGAGAGGTAAAGGTTTACTGCCTTGGAAACCCAATGATCCTCAGTATGAGTTGGAATTGACTTGATGGCAGTGAGTTTGGTATGAGAATACTTTTTCTCTAGCTTTTTATGAAGGAGCTCTGGTGGTATAGTGGACAAGGCATCTGGCTGCTAACCAGAAGGTCAGCAATTCAAACCCACAAGCCATTCCATGCAAAGAAGATGGAATAATCTACTTCCATAAAGATTTAGAGCATCAGAAACTGAATGGGGGTCACTATGGGTCAGAACGGACTCAATGGCAGTGAGTTTGGTTTTGGAGTGAGCGTTCTGTGGCTTGCTTCCTCACTTCTTTCAAAATGTTTCAAATATTACCTCCTCACAAGGCCTTTCCTGACCCCAACCACCCTACCTAAAGCAGCATTGCTAGTTCCAACTCTGTTTTCATTTTAACTTTTAGTATCTGAAATTATATTATGCATGTATCTGTTGTCTGTCCCTCATACTAAGTGAAAATTCCATTAGGGCACAAATGCTGTCTGGAATATTTCCTGCTTGGAAAACTATCTGGCACAAAGTAGGCATGCAGGAAAGTGTTTGATGCTGAGTGAGTGAAATGCATTTTCTTTTCTCAGAGATTCTACAGAGCTCTGTAGAAATCTCCTGGCATGTTGTTAATCCCAAATGTAGTTATTTAATGTGTATTTTATTCATTCTGCTAGCCTACATGCTCTGAGAGGACAGGAATTATGTTTTATTAAATTGGGGGTACACAGGAAGACATTCGAGGAGCTCTGGTAGCATAGTGCCTAAAGCACTTGACTGCTAACCAGAAAGCTGGCGGTTCAAACCCACCAGCCACTCCTCAGAAGGTTGGGCAATCTACTTCCACAGTGATACTGCCTCAGAAACCCAAGGAGGGGTCGCTATGAGTTGGGTCCAACTCCACGGCACATAACAACAACAACAACAACAGGAAGCATTCGAGTAATTGTGCTACCTCTAAAATTCCAAATATCAATTGCAGTTTATCTTTCCACATAGGGATCAGTATCAGGATTTTACACAAATAATATAATCCAGAAATATTTAAATATATATATATATATATATATATATCATCATAAAGTGTTTCTATGCATGTTACAAGAGATTTTAGTAAAAACAATTAGGTACTTATTTTATCTTTATTTTAAAAACAATGCCATTTTCAAAATATAAAAAATAGACCTATTTTCAAAGAACCATTTAAATTTAAATATGGCTTTGAAAACCACAATGTTTTATTTACAACAAAATGATGGTAGTGCAATAGCATTCATGTTTATGATGAAGAAAAACTTATTCCTCTGGCAACCTTTTCTTTATATTTTACAATGACTCATGAAAATAAAATCTGTAATGGCCGTTGATGTAATTTGTATCTAAACCTGAATTTGAGCAACAAATGTAGATTAATCATTTATTTGGGATCTGGACTCATATATCCCAAAGTTAAGCAGGGTGTTATTAAAGAGGGATGCAGCCTCATTTCCGTTTCCATACAGTTTGCTCACAAACATGTCTCAAACATCCCAGAAGTTGTATGGGGGATTTATTAGCACCTCCAATGGCTGAGTTATAGCCCTAGGTGCTAAATAAAGGGCAATATAGCTGGCTTCTAGAGATTCAGATTTTATATAGTTCAAATTCACTAAGTGCCAATGCCAAAACACAGGAACTAGAGAACCAGGAATACATTTTAAAGTATGGGAGAGCCTCTGAAAAGGAAAACATCAGCAATGGAATGACAACAGATGTCAGATACTTTTCAAATTAAGAAGTAGCATTTCACTAATTAGTGCCTTCAAATGGAATTAAAACTGAAGACCATTATTTACAGTGGAGTCTTTCTTATGAAAATCTTCTGATTCTAAAATGGTCTGGATTTGGGCAACACCTTTTTCAGTAACCCTTAAAGCTTAATTTACCCTAGAAACATACAATGACATTCTTGTAAGAAGTTATCTTCTTACTATTGCACAGAGGTCAATTTTAAAGACAATCCAGGCAAACAGTTTAAGAAAAACATAAATTCATCTAATCCATTCAGCAGCGAGTACTGCAAATCAGCTTCTACTCAAGACAATAAAATGGACAAATTTATGAAATTCTACACTTGATATCAGTTTTAGGTTGTGTTGATGGTAGCTGTTTGAGGCAGAGGTAGCCAAGCTACACACAGGAAGGCAAAAAACTGAAAACACTGTGAAGACTTAGCAGTACTTTGACTTCTTCTAATGATTACAGACCACTTTCTGAGTGTCAGTATTCTTCTGAGTTTTAAGTTTCAAACACAAAGGAGGAGATGCTGCTGCCTTCGGCCGATATACTGGAATCATCCTCTTTTAGCTTACTTTGTTTTCTCTCCGGTCAAGTAAAAAATGTAAGACGTTTTCATATACCACAAAGGTAATACAGCAGGCTGGAGTCACTCTAATCAAATTAGGGGCAATTCCTTTGTAAAATCCACTGATGCCTTCTTTCCTTTAGTGGGAAAAACAGATTAATACTTAATTTTCTAAATGGTTAGCCTGAAAATATGAATGTTTAACTGACACAGGGTATGTAGCAAGCAGTCCATGTTTCCAGTATCCTGGAATAATGTAGTTTATGAGCCATTTGGAGGGGCTTGCATTCCTTCTGTGGGCTGACTGAGAAAGAGGACATGGATGCCTCAAAACTGACTCAGAAGTGCTTTGATGATAACTATCTTTCAAATGCTTTTATTTTATGAAGGAGTCTTAACTCTGATCTAATGTAGAGATTAAAAATCCCATGTTGTTGTTGTTGTTATGTGCCTTCGAGTCGGAGCTGACTCATAGCGACCCCTCCTCATGCTTCCGAGGCAGTACCACTACGGAAGTAGATTGCCCCATCTTCCTTCCGAGGAGTGGCTGGTAGGTTTGAACCGCCAGCCTTTTGGTTAGCAGTTAAGTGCCTTAGGCACTATGCTACCATAGCTTATGTAAATACCAAACAACACTAAATATAACATACAAAAAATATAACTTTATGTCCTTAATGCTTAGAATAAAGAATATAGCCTAGTACTTGTCAATTAGGTTCTCAATCAATATTTTCTGAACTGAAATAAATTTAAAAATCCCGTTCTAGGAGCTAATCTGCAAAAGTGAGTCCACTTCCAGGCCCAAAGGATAACCTGGGCCATAGTCTTGGGGGTTCCACCAGTCTCTATCTGACCACTAATTCTGGTCATTATTGTGTTTTTTAATTTCTCAAATGACAATAAAAAATTAGGGAAAAAAAAATCCTGCTGTGGGCTTTTTACAATGAAAGGGAGCTATGAGGATGTTTAGTTGTGACGGTCTAACTAATGCCACGTTAGATGCTAAAGAATAAGTGTCTTTTCCATATAAGGAAACAGTTATTTGCTAAAGTTATGATGCCATTGCAGGTGTGGGCTCTTCTCAACTGTATTAAACTAAATTTTTTTTTTTTTCCTAAAATGACTTCCTATATGCCATGTCACAAGCCTCAGGGAGATTAAGTCCATGGTCACAGGTGTAGTAAACAGGAAAGCAGGAACCACTAGCCATCTTTTTGTCACAGCACACTGGCCTTTGCTATAAAATAAGCATCAACTATATGTCTAAGAGGTGTCTAGACCAACTTGGACATACCCCAGGGTCTCACCTCCATGTCCTCGTGATAACATCCAATACACCCTTATAAAAAATGTGTTGATCCTGAAGACGAGCTCTCACGACTTGGTACGGGTATGTTGCTGCTACAGCAAATATTTTGGATAGTGCTGCAATAGATATATACTCCACTGTGCTCTGAAATGAAACAAGACATTTCTGTTTTTCCTTAGAAATACAGAAGTCAAAATTATATAGGAAAACAAACATTAAAAGGGATCTATAGGTAAACAATACTGTCACCCTTCCCTTAACAATTAAGGGGCTCTATTTTTTAACATTTGTGTATCACTAGCCTATAAAATATTAAATTAGTTGCAGAGTCAGTACTTGTAATCATAACAATACCACCAAAGGAAGCATGGCAAAATTCCCACCTATAAAATGCCCGTAAAGTAAATGATAACATGTTTTGGAGAATCCTCTTACCAACTGGGCTTCTGGTAACCTATTGATATGCTGGTTGTACTTCAACTTCAGCAATTCGTATGCCATAAACTGGAGGGCACCATGTGATGTTCCAAACAGCCCAGGAACAAATCCCTAGAAGGCAACCATTTAAAAAAAAAAAAAAAAAAAAAACTAAGCCAAACAACATACCTTCAGAGAAATATTTTCTCTCCTTTCTTAATGTAGTATAAGAAAATTCATTTGTTGTTTAACTTTTACATAAATCACATTTTTTTGTATATGGAATTTCTAAAATGCATTATTTTACTACTTTATTTAAGTTAAAAGCTTGGATTTTCACATCTTAGTCTTTCTTTAAATAGTATACATATCAACATAAAGAAAAGACCCACACTATAAGGTCAGAGAAATAGAAATTTCTAACCAAAATAGCTCTGGAATGGAAACCATGACTGGGTTTTTGAGCTCTGTATCTCCCAGTAACACTAAACAACCCTGAACAACTTTTTAAAATGTCCATCATACTTTCATTACCTGGACTTTGGACTGGGTGACCTTTTCTAGGAAAACCACTGAAACTAGAACTTTGACAAGTGGTTCTCTTGTGCCTGTTACTGCTGAAAGTATCTTTTTACAGCAGCAAGAACTGGGTGTGGGCGGAAAATTAACTTCTGGGAAGTTAAAGTAAAGCTAGCAGTAATTCAATGAACTGATGGTCAGTATTCTAAAAGAATGAGGCAAGAAATGATGAATGATGTACTGAATGATACATTTCCAAAAGTTTATTCATGGGTCAGTAATCCCTAATTAATTCTTGAAAAACAAACTAAAATGTAACGTATCAAGTTTTATTTTTTTTTTACTTTTATTTTTTAGGGAGCTCTGGTGGCATAGTGCCTAAGGCATCTGACTGCTAACTAGGAGGTTGGCGGTTCAAACTCACCATCTGCTCCATGGAAGGAAGATGGGGCAATCTACTTCTATAAAGATTTACTGCCTTGGAGACCCACTGGAGGTTGCTATGAGTCAGTATCTACTCAATGGTAGTGAGTCTGCTTTTGCTAGTTTTTATTTTAAAGTATGTATGGCCTAAAAAATTTTATGGGGGTAAACAGGTCATGGGAGTAAGAGTTGGAGGACAGGAAACAGGGAAAGAGAAAAGGAACTATAAAGTCATTACAGAATCTGAAAACAGATCTTACTGTCACTAGGAAGAAATTTCAAAAATACTACAATAAGCAAGGGGCTGGCTTTGTTGTTTTTTAATTCTTACAAGATGTGGCCAAAGATATTTCACTGAGACAGATTGGAGTTGTTATACATTTGGTACACAGGCAATGAGGTTAATAAAATCTTCTAAGATCCTGTTACCCCAAGTTCCCAAGAGACCACAGCTTCCAGGGAGGAGAGTAGAGAATAAATGACCTGGTTGTATGACCTAGAGAAAACGTACTGGACAAAATTTCAGATAGTTCTTCTCACACCCTCCACTGTCATAAGACATATTATAGTAACAAAGATAAACAGTTTAAAATACAATTTCAACATTGTAAACTAGGTTTCAGTTTTTATTAAATTGTGTCTTAGTTTTGCTTCTTTTTAGGATTGATTATGGGTTATTCAGAACTCAAGACAATAAACTCAACCGACATTATAAAATAAACTTAACCGGTTATAATTTTCAGTTATTCAAAATATGATATTAAGTTATTACCTTATATAGTCCACGCACACCTTCATACTTATGTATTTTCGTAAGAGTATCAAACAATCCTTTATACTGTCGCTGTGGAAGGTTAACCTCACCTTCATACTGTAACATAAGGCGTGTTTTTGCTACCCATAATGGGTTTGTAATGCAGAGGGTCATGGCTCCTAAAATCAGATTTAAGTAAGATTACTTAGTATACACAGGCACTTTCTCATTTGTGATAATCCAAATTAAGAACAGTCCATTTATATAAGAAGGAGGTTGTACAGGAGCTGTACCTGGAAGACCTGTGGTCTTCAAGCCACTGTCTTGGGTTTGTTGTTAATTGTCAGTCACTGTTGAGTCAATTCCGACTCATGGTGACCCCATGTGTACAGAATAGAACTGCTCCATAGGGTTGTCAAAGCTGTGACCTTTGCAAAGTAGATCACTAGGCCTGTCTTTTGAGGTGCCTCTAGGTAGATTTAAACTACCAACCTAGTAGTAGCTTTCAGCTAGTAGCTCAGTGCTTAACCATGTGTATCACCCAGAGACTCCCAGTCTTAGGGTAGACACAGTTTTTGGTGCTTATAACAAGTTCCTCATGTGGTTGGTGAGAGGTAAAAGGGAGATGGAAATGTGAAATATTTTCCCTTTGAGATGTGAGGATAGGTGTGGGTCCTAAACAGTGTTATTGGTGTAGAGAACAGATGGAAGTTCTGAGAAGCAGACTGTGATAAGGAGTCTTAGGGCCAGGAGATGGTGTAAACTAGAGGGGTTGAAGAGCAGGACACCACAAATTCAACATCTGCACACGTATATTCACCACAATTTCCCTCACATCCATTCAAAGAGGCTATTACACCTCAAAAAGAAAACTATATAATGTAATAAACAAGATTTTACCTTCTTGATAGAGAGCGCTAATGCAATTTTTAAAAATATTGTTAAATTTCTTGTTTGAGTTTCTTAAGTAGTCATATATTTAACAAATATTTATTGAGTCCTATTGTAGACTCTGCAAACAGGTATTCAAAAGTGAGTAAGGTATTTGTCTTAAAGAACTCACAATATTAAGAACATCACAAAAACAAGGTAAAGACTTATGGAACTTACGTTGTGTTTTTCCCTCTGGATATTATTCATGCATAAAGCAATTCAACAGGCTACTAAACTGTAATTTTTAAATTGGAATTATAAATACTCTATCAAACCATCTTATACTATTAAGGGAGTTATAATTTTGCTAAATTTTACCCCTTCTGTGATAATTCTTGAATCTATCCAGAGTAATCAAGGGAAATACCTGCTTTCTAAGAAATTTCACATGGTAACTGAGTAATAGAGTTAGATGAGCATATTTAGACTCTGGTGTTAAAGGGAAAATACAATGAAAGCACCAGTAAAAATCCAGCTGGAGACTGGCATCTTTGTGCTGCCCACTCGGCCTTACCAGCTTCAGCAGCTGAGACAAGGTATTCTGTTGCCTCGAGTTGCTCAGCTCTTCCTTCTGTCTTATATGATTTGATGGCATTGTAACTAAAAATGTAAACACAAACAGTCTGATCAACAGTTGAAGAGGTATCTTAAACCACTAAAGTCTGTTTGAAATTATGTTCACAACAGTATCCCAGAAGTAATGTACAATGCAACCACAAAATGAGAACTTTTCAAGAATGGATTTGCTGAAAATGGTTTATAAGATTACAATATACAAGTATTAAGCCTACAAAAGTTACCAGTTAAACATTTCACCTTCCTGAATTCACTTCATTGAAGTGTCTGCTGTAAGGAGTCATTTCCCATCTCATCCACTTTCCTCCTATTAAAAACTTTCTTCCTATTAAGAACTTTCTTCCAGAACAAATATGAAACTAATAAATGATCTTGCACTTTTTGAACCTTCCAATTCAGAAAAAATGGATTAAATAAGTCATATTCCTTTATCAACTGTCATGTAAAAAATCACTAGGGAGAAAAATTCTTTTTTACTCAGTATTGTTAAAATCTCCCAGATCTACTTACAAGAAAAAGTAGAGTCCCCAGGATAAACCTGCACCCCACACATTTGGGGTTACTCCTTGGTAAAGTCCACGTAGTCCATCAAGTTTCCAAATAGTAGTCAAACAATGCAAAATTCCTTTATACTTTGGTCTCAGTTCCAGTCCATCATTCACTACATTAAAGGATACACAAAGTTTGGTGAAAAAAAAAGTTCCAGCTTGAAATCACATATAAATACAGATATCACATAATCAGTCATATAGAAAAGATAAATTCAGAAAAAAAAACAAAAAACTTTTAGGTAGAGAAACTAATTTTCCAGGATTATTTGTTGTTGTTACCAAAACCAAAACCAAACTCACTGCCATGGAGTTGGATCCAACTCATAGCGATCCCTCCCTGTGTTTCCAAGGCAGTATCACTACAGAAGTAGACTGCCCAACCTTCCTTCTGAGGAGTGGTTGGTAGATTTGAACCGCCAGCCTCATGGTTAGCAGTTAGATGCCTTAGGCTCTGACTCATAGTGACCCTACGTACAGCAGAATGAAACACTGCCTGGTCCTGTGCCATTCTCACAATCCCTGCTATGTTTGAGCCTAGTATTGCAGCCACTGTGCCAATCCATCTTGTTGAGGGTCTTCTCTGACCCCCTACTTTATGAAGCATGATATTCTTCTCCAAGGTCCAGTTCCTTCTGACAACATGACCAAAGTACGTCAGATGAAGTCTGGCCATTCTTGCTTCTAAGGAGCGTTCTGGCTATACTTCCTCCAAGACAGATTTTAAATTAATACATTTATATATTTTATGGAAGTACTTATTGAGGGCACACTAAGCACTCAAATAATATTGTAGAAAGTGTTGGATCCCATTCTTTTTTTAAAAAAAACCTAACATTTTATTGTATTTTTGGTGGACCTGTATACACTGAAATAGGGTTCCACTCAACAATTTCTACACGTTCTGTTCAGTTACATTTGTTATACTCATCACATTACATCAACATTCTCATTATTTCTGTTCTATTTGTTACATTCCTGTTGATCTATTCTCACTGTCCTCTAACCCTCTCATCTATGCTTTAGAGTACTGATGATCAAGGGTGATGTTCTTTATGAGCTAATGTGATATTAAGCTAAAAAATGCCTGGAGGGGACAGTTTTGATTCAGGGTTTACAGAGTATCTCAGGGCAATAGTCTCAGGGACCGCTGTAGTCTCAGTGGGTCCAGTAATTCTGGACTTTTAAGAGTCTGAAGTTCTGTCCCATGTTTTTCTCCCTTTTTATGAGGATCCACCTGTTGTGGCCTTGATCAGAACATCTGGTAGTGACAGATGTGTACCATCTAATTCTTTTGGTCTCAGGTTACAGAAGGCCATGGAGGACCATGTAGACAGTTAGTTCTGTAGAATGGTTCATTCTCTAAATCTTAGGTTTCCTTCTTTCTCTTTTGCTCCAAGGAACAATAGTTGTATCTTCGATGGCCACTCACAAGCTTTTAAGACCCCAGATGCTACTCACCAAACTAGGATTAGAGCACAAACTTTATTAACTATACAACTGAGTTGTTTCACAAGACTATGACCATAAATCTTCAGACCAAGAAAACTAAGCAATCCTATATGGTTATGTCTAAGAAGTATCTGTTTCTGTGAGTTCTATTTTTTCTATGTATACACATATCCATACACACACATGTATGCTGTTGTTGTTGTAGTAAAATTATATATAACTTTGCATTACCCAAACATCCTTTTTCTTGTGTACAACTTAGTGGCATGAGTTACTTTGATTAAGCTGTGCAATACTTCATCCATATGTATTCCCTCTTACATAATTTCAAAAGCCTCTTATGTAAATATGTTATAACACTTAGGGTTTTGTTGTTGTTGTTGTTGTTAAGTGCCACTGAGTTAGTTCTGACTCACAGTGACCCTATGTCCTACAGAACAACACACTGCCCAGTCAGGCACCATCCTCACAGTCTTTGCTGTGTTTAAGCCTATTGTTGCAGCCACTGTGTCAAATCATCTTGTTGAGGGTCTTCCTCTTTTTCACTGATCTTCTACTTTGCCAAGTATGATGTCCTTCTCCAGGGACTGGTTCCTCTGGATAATATGTCCAAAGTGCATGAGGTGAAATCTCACCATCTTTGCTTCTAAGGAGCATCCTGGCTGTACTTCTTCCAAGACAAATGTGTTTGTTATTCAGGCAGTCCATGGAATATTTAATATTCTTCGCTAACACCATAATTCAAAGGCATCAGTTCTTTGTTCTTTAAACAAAGTTTATTCAAAAAAAATGAAGAAACACTGTCCAATTTTCACATGTGTATGAGGCAACTGAAAATACCATGGCTTGGATCAGGTGCACCTTAGTCCTTAAAGTGCATCTTTGCTTTTCAACACTTTAACACAGTCTTTTGCAGCAGATTTGCCCAATGCACTAAGTCCTCTGATTTGACTGCTGCTTCCCTGGGCATTGATTGTGGATCCAAGGAAAACGAAACCCCTGATAACTTCAATCTTTTCTCCGTTTATCATGATGTTGCTTATTGGTCCAGTTGTGAGGATTTTTTTTCTTTATGTTGAGGTGTAATCCATACTGAACACTGTAGTCTTTGATCTTCATCAGTAAGTGCTTCAAGTCATCTTCATTTTTAGCAAGCAAGGTTGTGTCATCTGCATATTGCAGGTTGTTAATGAGCCTTCCTCCAATCCTGATGCCATGTTCTTCCTCATATAGTCCAGCTTCTTGGATTATCTGTTCACCATACAGATTGAACAAGTATGGTGAAAGGATACAACCCTGGAGCACACCCTTCCTGATTTTAAACTATGCAGTATCCCCTTATTCTGTTTGAATGACGGCCTCTTAGTCTATGTACAGGTTCCGCATAAGCACAGTTAAATATTCTGGAATTCCCATTCTTTACAATATTATCCATAATTTGTTATGATCCACAGAGTTGAATGCCTTTGCGTAGTCAATACAACCCAGCTAAACATCTCTCTGGTATTCTCTGCTTTCAGCCAAGAGCCATCAGATACAGCAATGATATTCCTGTTCCATGTCCTCTTCTGAATCCAGCTTAAATTTCTGAAGGTCCCTGTCTATGTGCTGCTGTAACTGTTTTTGAATTATCTTCAGCAAAAGTTTATTTGCATATGATATTAATGATATTCTTTGATAATTCCACATTTCGTTGAATCACTTTCCTTTAGAATGGGCAAAATATGGTTCTCTTCCAGTCAGGTAGCTATCTTCCAAATTTCTTGGCATAAATGAGTGAGCATTTCCAGCTTTTCATCTGTTTGCTGAAACATTTCAATTGGTATTATGTCAATTCTTGGAGGCTTGTTTCTCACCAATGCCTTCTTTGATTTTATTTTCCCTCAATTTAGAGACTATCTCAAGAAGAGATTTTTGTAATGTTGTTGTTGTTACATGGCGTTGAGTCAGGCCCGACTCATAGCGACCCCTCCTTGGGTTTCTGAGACAGTATCACTATGGAAGTAGATTGCCCAACCTTCCTTCTGAGGAGTGGCTGGTGGGTTTGAACTGGAAAATGTATTATTAAAATGCTCAAAAATATTCAAAACATAAACTAGCTACAAGTCTCAATTAAAACAAGAATGCTGCCAAAACGTGAGTACTGTAATAGGAAAGAAAAATGTTGATGCAGTAACTTTTTTCCTGAAAATGTTCTTTCTACACCTCATCTCACACATACACCAATATCAGAACTCATATATCTTTTTCTGATTCTCAAAAGCTGTAACAAAATATGACAGGTTAAAGCATAAACAAACTTATATGATATTTTATGTTTTCCAAATAAAAGAATTGAAATGTGTTTTCAATGTTTAAAACATAATACTTCTTTGACAAAATAATATATATATAATTATATATAATAAATGGTTCATAAAGCTACTATGCAAGAAATACCTACAAATCAACAAGAGAAAGACAAACAGCCCCAAAGAAAAATGGGCAAAGATATGAAATTTCAATTTGCAAAAAAATACAAATAGCCAAGAAGCACTGATAAAGTGCTCAACCTCACAGAAAAATAAATGCAAATTAAGAAAAGACATTTTTTTTTTCTTTCCAGATTGAAAACCATTTAAATGTTTGTTAATATCAATTTTTGGTGAGGGCATATTGAAAGAGGCACTCATGCTCTTTTAGAGAGCAATTTATAGCAGTTATCCAAATTTAAATGCAATGATCCTTTGACCTAGCAGTTGCATTTCTAAGAATATATTTTATAGACATACTAGCCTCAGTATACAAAGATGCATAAAGATGTTTGCTGTTGCCAACTTCTGTGACAGCAGAAGTAAAAATAATCTCAATATTCATCAGTAGGGGAATATTTAAATGAATCATGATACATCTGTACCATGAACCACTGTAAACATTTAAAAAGACTGAGATAGCCACGGGACGCCACAGGGCACCAGAGGGGCAACATTCGCATGGAGGAAATGTAGGACACACAAATAAATAAGTAAATAAATAAAAAGATTGAGATAGGCAGAAAGATGTCTGACTATACTGAGAATAACATGGCTATAACTATCTTAAAGAACCATCCTCTGCCACTGTGTATGTGTTTTTACATATGTTTGAGTATGCCTAGAAAAAGGAATAGACCGAAACACCGCATATGTTAATGGTAGTATCTGTAGGAAATGAGATTGGGAGGCAGGGCTTGTAGGAAGAGAATGATAAAGGCAATTCAACAATATAAAGTAGAGGAAGTAAAAACTAAGCAAAGATAATATATTTTACATAAAAAATAAAGCAAGTCTAGGGAAATTTTTTATAAATTTATTTCCGTTCTCTTTCAGACCAGAAACCTCCAGATGCTTTATATCTGCAACTGACAATGAAATACAGTAACAGAGTAACATTTAAAAACTCTTTTCAGGTCATAAATATTGAACTAGCACAATCATTAAAAATAGCTTAAAAAAAAAGCTATATATATGCACTACAGGAAATTTAGAAACACAGAAAGGAACAAAGAAGAAAGTAAGTCACTCACAATGCCACCACTGAGAGATGACCGCCCTTACTTTCTTTCTTCCCCTTCTTTTATGACTGTAGACACAGGTACACATAGTTCTTTATCTTGAGACCTTTTTGCTGATTTTCAGATCTA